TTACTGCCCGCTGCTGTTTAAATAAAAAAAATTTCACAATACTCAACTATAATTCATAGTATAACTTTATCAATTCAATCTTTTAACATTTACAACAACATTTAGTAAAAAATGACTATAATCCTGAAGTTGAAAATGAGTGTGTGAACTAAACTGTAGTAAATCATATTTTAACAGGGTAAATTATGATAAATCATATTGGAACATGGTTAATTATGTAATATCACACTGAAATGTAGTATATCATGATAAATCATATGTCTTTTGATGCTTTTGTGCTTAAATGCCTTAAAGATCTGAACTGCTTGAACACCGATAAATGCTGCTTGCAGCTTTAATTATACATTGAACTCAACATTATATATAGCAGTTTAATGACACTAAAACTCTGAAAACGTCTCACACGGTCATTTTTATTTTGGGTAAATGATGCACAATATATATACATATATATATATATATATATACATTGTCACTAGTATCCACGATACATATTGTTGCATTTTTGTATTGTGAGACGATATATGGTTACACCCCTACCGTTTCTGCATGGATTCGGTGTGCATGTGATCCTCAGCATGTTTTGCCCGTCATCAGATGGGCGGCAGAGAATGACCCGCGTGCGTCACAGATTCTGGCATGAAAACCCTGGACTGTGTGTGTCCCTGTGGTGGATTAATCTCACACCCTACACAATTACAACTTTGGCATCATAACTGCAAACACATCTGTCAGTGCCCGTCAGACCTGCGCTGTCCGTCCGAGACCAACCTGCTGTGATTAGATGCGTCGCTCACGAATAAATGATGACACTTAATCAGTTTGTTTTGTGTGTTTCTTTAAAAGGTCCCGATGTCACGCTGATGAACGTGTGTCGTGATATATAATGTGCTGCGTGGTGGACATACTGTCCCAGGACTCACTTGGCATAGAGACAGACAGACAGACGGGTAGACAGGCGTCCGGCCAGATCTGGTCTGGGTTTCTTTTGAATGGATGTGGTTGGGAAAGTGTCACGTCTGATCTTGGTTTAGTGCTTTCGAGATCACACAAACCAGAGACAAGAATCTCTACTCGATAATGATATCATTACCTTAAAGTCTGCCTGTAGTCCCTTAAAACTCATCCTTCATCACCAAAATTACATATTTAAATATTTTTTTCCCTTGAAAAGAATGTGTTTGTGCCTCAAAATATCTTGAATGTAACTCGACACCCTTGGGTCATTTAGTATGCGCGGTTCTACGAATATGCAAATGAGCTCCGCCTCCACTCACTCACTGACTCAGAGATCCACAGGTTGATGATCACTCGTTCTGATTGGTTACAAGGTCGTTTGTGACGTCACAAACACCAACGATTTCAAATCGAGATTGTCTTTGGTTCACTGCAGTTTTAACTTGGAGGAAATACTCATTGAATTTACACATGGTTTGTCTTAAAGCAGATTAAAAATACCACATAAACAACATTATAAACTTGATTTTCAACATGGGGAGACTTTAATTATATTTATTTTATGATATTTATACACTATTCATAGGTTTGGAGTAAGATTTAGTTGTAATCGTCTTCTGCTCACCAAGGCTGCGTTTATTTGATAAAAAAAATAAACTATTATTATAATTTAAAATTATAGGAGATTGCTGTTTTTGCTTATAATTGGTCTCCTTTTGTCATACCGAGTCGAACAATACCCAATTTTCCTATGTCAGCCATTTTGGACATTGGCCATTTTGAATTGTCGTAAAATGCTCTATTTTATGAATGCATTGGTGTAGTAGTGTCACAAAACTCAGTATGTGATGGCACTCAAAAGGTATTGTGGTCAAAAACTATTATGAAATCTCAAAAAACACTAATAGCTTTTGATTAGTTTAGCCTATTGTCTTGAACGATTCCTTTGATCAGTTGTAATTGATTCAGCCAATAGTCTTCCTGTGGACTATTTTGACACACTTTTGAACTTTTTCTAGACCCTTGGTCTGATTTTCTCCAAAGTTGTCACGGATCATCTTCAGACTAAGCTGGCATAAAGTTGTGAAATGGATTTCATGTCGATGGACAAAACTCTTTCGTTTGCCGCATCAACAAATTTGATGGCATGATGCCAAGCTGCATTTGAGACTGTATCTCTGCAAGGCTTTGGTATATTGGCACCAAAATTGGTGCGTGTCATTGCCAACCAACACTGGGCACACCACGCAAATTTGGTGTCAGCGCCACCTTTTGGTCAAAAGTAATGCGCAATTATGTCTCATCGAAAGTGAGTTTTTGTTGTGGAATAGACTGATCTATTTATTTGAAATAGAGTCTTTTAAAACATTATTAATGTCTTTTCTTTCACTTTCAACCAATTTAATGTGTCCTTGCTGAATAAAATAATTTAATTATTTAAAACAAAACAAAAAATGGTACTGAGCCCAAACTTTGAACGGTAGTTTATATTTACATTTGCTCATTTTCCAAATTGTTATATCACTTTAAAAAGAGGAATACAGTAAGTGATTCATCAAACACCAGACGAAGTACTTCCTATAGGAAGTGCGTTTTTGATTATCCTGCAGAATCAGTTTGAGCGAGATGCCGTCACATCTTGCCACGATGAAAAATGGCAACAGCCGTAATAACATATTGGGCATCTGGTGTGAATGAGAGTCTTAAGTACACAGGGCTCAAGGACAGATGTTCCCGCGGCTGTGGGCTTCGCTCTTCCTCCTCCCCAGTTGTTGTGAATCAGGTGGACTCATTTGTAATGCTTTAGGTTTATTGAAGTGCTGAAGCTCCACAGAGATGTGGAGTTGCTCTAGTTTCAACTACTAGATGCATTATGCGGTTTGGTAGTTTATCTTTTGTTGCAAGACTGTTCTAGGTTGTTTTATTTGACCAGGGATTCACAAACTCTTTTCTCTGCTAAAATATGTACTCGCTTGTTCATGGTTCTCTCATGTAGGCTAACGGTCACGTGACATGCACATAAACAAATATTTAATCTTTTTAGTTCGTGATTTTGATTGCTTTCTTTTGGGATCATTTTGTTTGTGATTTCATTAATATTTACTAAGTTACATAATATTTTTTTTTTTGGGGGGGGGGGGGGGGGGGCTACATTATGATATTAAGGGAGTAGTTCATTTAAAAAAAAAAACAAAAAAAACTTTTCTGATAATTTACTCACCACCCCATGTTATCCAAGATGTCCATGTGTTTCTTTCTTCAGTCGAAACGAAATTGATAAAAACATTCGAGGATTTTCTCCATATAATGGACTTCAATGGGGTCCAAACGGTTCAAGGTTTAAATGTGAGTTTCAGTGCAGCTTCAAATGGCTTTAAATGACACCAGACGATGAATAAGGGTCTTATCTAGCCAAACGATCGCTCATTTAAAAAATAAATAACAAGTTTAACGAACGAAAAAAGATTTTTGTTCATTTTGATGAACGAGTTCGAACAGAAGCATCACCGAACAGAGCAAGACGACCATTTGAGCTTATAAAACTTAAACTTTTGTATTTATTTATTTAATGAGTGATCGTTTCACTTGATAAGACCCTTATTCATCGTCTGGAATCGTTTAAAGCCCTTTGAACAGTTTGCACTGAAACTCTCATTTGGACCTTGAACCGTTTGGACCCCATTGAAGTCCATTATATGGAGAAAATCCTGGAACGTTTTCATCAAAAACCTTAATTTCTTTTCGACTGAAGAAAGAAAGACGTGGACATCTTGGATGACATGGGGGTAAGTAAATTATCAGCAAAATTTTTTTTTTTTTTTTAAATGAACTACTCCTTTAATCACTTTAGTAACTTGTATTTTTTATTTATTTATTACAATTTTAGTGTTGCATTTTGTTGCATTTAAATAATTTGTTATTTAACACACATTCAGTTTTATAATATTATATTAATACTTTTTAGTCTCGTATTTTCCCATTTTTATTTATTATAATTGTACATTTATGTCATTTTTAATAGGTGTTTAATTGAATTCATATTATTATTTCAATAACGGGACAAGTGGAAACCGTTTGAGCTTCATAAAATGGCTATTCTTCTAATAAAGACGTGATATGATATGAAGTTTGGGTAAAGCGTCAGTGAAGTTCTGCTGTTTTGTGAGTTTGAATGCCATCGCCGCTCCTCTGGCCTGTCACAGCTGAAATGAGCCATAAGCGTCTGAGTATCAGCGAGACAGACGTTTGCCGTGACACATCCACACTTTAGTGACGGAGGAAATGGGCCAATTAAGGACAGCTTGCTCAGACCCTGCATGGGGTTAATATTCCACTCCCGTAATTAAAAATAAATTACACTTTTCCTGGATAACTATTCAAACTGCCTCTGTGTTTTTGACGTGCCGCAGACTCCACGGCTGCGTGTCTCTCTGCTTTTTTCTTTCATTTCCAATTCCGCAACATCTGGTGCAGTGATTTCTGCACGTTCCTCAGCACAAATTGATTCTGGATGCAGAAAACGGCAGCAGTTTTTGTTCTGAGGAAACTGAGGTGTTTTGTGTCATGCTGTTGTTTTAAGTTCAAACCGGGTTTTACATCTAAATTTAGATGCATGCTTTCACTATGCCTTTAAAATAGGCTTAGCGTTGCCTTCAGTAAATGATCTTAACTCTGTAAAGCCTGACAAGACAACATTAACATATATATATGTCTGGATATTTATGTAACCTGCTTCAGTCCAGTTGAAATATTACCAACAATATCAAAGTTATTCTTACTTTTACTTGATAAAAATCTCATTTGACTGCAGAAAGACACTGAAGCACGAGCTTATGGACGTTTGCACAATTACACTAATAGACTTAACTGTCAATCAGACGACAGAAGGACTGGAAGAGATTGAGTTTTGACATCATGTTGATCATTTATTAAGTCATGTGTCAAATCTGATACAATATATGGGTTAATATGACCTCAGCTGTTTAGGCATTGGCCATGCATTTCTTATTTATTATGCTTTCTGTTGTGTTCTGTCTCTTCAGGAGAGTATATAAAGACATGGAGGCCGCGGTATTTCTTGCTGAAGGATGACGGTACGTTTACGGGTTATAAGGAGCGACCGCAGGACGCCGATCAGCTGGAGACGCCGTTGAACAACTTCTCTGTGGCTCGTGAGTCTCTCATGCTTAACTTATACTGCAGTCTTCAATAGAGCCTGAGTGTGTGTGTGGAAATGTGAACAACAACAATAAATAGGGGTAATACGGGACTATTTTAAGTAGTGTTCTACCATTGTCACATTGCATGCTTACTTGAGTGCAGTATTTTTTTAAATAAATGCAGCTATTTTGCTTTTTTTTTTAAACAAAATTTTGTGTGAAAAAGTCTTCATTTTTGACAGACCAGACAGAGATGATGAAAAAGTATAATTTTAGGTTTATTTGCAACATTATACATAGTTAATTTTTTAACACATTTTTAACTTTTTGCTAAACTTTTGTGTAAAATTTTTTTTTTATAAAGATTTTAGTGAATTAATGTTCTGCACCTTCTAAGTATTTATTTTTGTAATTTTTTTTAAAGAAAATTTTAGTAAAAAAAGTTACATTTTAACAGACAAAACAAAGATGTTTAAAATAATATTTAATATATTTTTTTACGTTAATTTGCAACTCAAGATTTTTTTTGCACCTTCTAATTATTTCTTTTTGTTAAAATTTCACAGACAAAACAGAAATGTTTAAAATAGCACTTAAAATAATTTCAGGTTTATTTGCAATATCATACGTAATTTATTTAAGTCTCAAAAGTATGTTTTTTTTTTTTGTAAAAATTGATTGAAAATTTTGTGTAAAAAAAGTCGTATTTTTTGACAGGCCAGACAGAGATAATAAAGTATAATTTCAGGTTTATTTGCAATATTATACGTAATTTATTTAAGTCTCATAAGTATGTTTTTTTTTTTTTGTAAAAATTGATTGAAAATTTTGTGTAAAAAAAGTCTTATTTTTTGACAGGCCAGACAGAGATTATAAAGTATAATTTCAGGTTTATTTGCAATATTATACATATTTGCGTCTTAGTTTTTATTTTTGTACAATCAGTAGCACATTTTTAACTTTTTACTAAACTTTTGTGTAAAAAAATTTAAAATTAAAATTTTAATGAATTAATTTTCTGCACCTTCTAAGTTTTTATTTTTGTAATAAACTTTTTTTTAACAAAGAAAATTTTAGTTAAAAAGGGAAGACAAATCAAAGATGTTTAAAATAGTATTTAATATATTTTTTAGGTTAATTTGCAACACAAGTAATTTTTTGCACCTTTAATTATTTATTTTTATAACTAATTATTTATTTTTTATAACTAATTATTTATTTTTGTTACAGTTTCAGACAAAACAGAAATGTTTAAAATAGCACTCAAAATAATTTCAGGTTTATTTGCAATATTATAAGTAGTTTTTACATTCTTAATAGTATGTAAATATTTGTAAAAATATTTTAACAAAAGTTTGAGTAAAAAAATCTTATTTTTTGACAGACAAAACAGATATGTTCAAAATTGCATCTAAAAAATTATTTCAGGTTAATTTGCAACATTATAAGTACTTTTTCACCCCATTCTTGGTATGCATTTTTGTAAAAATCGATTGACAGATTTAGCATTTTGTGTAAAAAAAAAAAAAAAAAAAAGTCATAATTTTTTCCAGACAAAACAGATATGTTCAAAATTGCATCTAAAAAAATTTTCAGGTTAATTTGCAACATTATAATAAATTTTTCACCCCATTCTTAGTATGCATTTTTGTAAAAATCGATTGACATATCTAGCATTTGTGTACAAAAAAAAGTCATAATTTTTTCCAGACAAAACAGTGCATTTAAAAGTGCATTTAAAATAAGTTCAGGTTTATTAGCACCTTTTTAACTCGACTGACGCATTATGTTTGATAAATGGCACTGACAAAAGCAATGAACACAATGGATTATTTGGATATTAGACTAATGTTGCGTAACCCTTTCAAAACATCTCAAACGATCATCCGAAAGTATATTCCGGTAATATATCATGCACGAGCGCACGTGACTTTACTCGTTGGACACGAGGTCGCGCGAGCTTCCGCCTGACCTCCATCAACACACACAGTTTTATGTTTCCTCGAGGGACGTGCAGAACATATTAAGCACGAGTCGCACCTCAGCAGAAACTCCCCAACAAGCCCCGCCATCCCTGAGAAAACTGTTGAAATGATTGAACAGACTAATTAGACAGCCATAATGTTTGTTCAAGAGAACGCTTCCTCGCTGACACTTGTGAAATATAGTGGTTATTAAGTGTCTGATCCTCATTATTTATCTCTGGGCTGATGGAGGCTGTGGATGAAGCCCGGTTGGATCTCAGTGGTGGTCTCGTCCCGATCCTCCATCTCCACGACAGGTCTCTTACGTGACACATGTCTCCTCCACGCTCTCTCCTCGACATATGTTTGTGGGAAAGCGCTGGCAGAGTCACTGCTGGATATTGTGCTTTGTCGCGCTGAAACCATAAGTTTTCCTCTTTGAGTGAGCATTTTTGAGGGCAGAGAACACAGACACAGCTTATTTCGCCTTAAAAGACGTGAGTTCGAGTTTTCAACAACTGATGACAGTCCTGTTTTCCTCAGGCGCAGTTGCGCACTCATAGTTATCCGTGCGGGAAAGGAAAACACAGGTGATGTTGACATCAGGTTGCCCTCGGTTTGACATTTAAGCTTTTTATGTGGAAAACTTGTTAAGAGCAAGTTTTAAGAGATGCAAAATATTAGTGTTGATTATTACGTAAAGTGACCGAAACTGAGAATATGTGCTCATTTTTCACAGTATTGGATGGATCTCGATGTTTTTATGAACGTCTCTTACGTCATGAGCGTAACAATTTTTTTGTTTTCATGATAATCGAATGTAAAGAGTTTTATCTCTAAAAACTGTTTAGCGTATAATGCTAGTAATGGGGGAATTGACTAAGTAAAAAGAAATCGCTAGTTTATACCACTAACAAGGCTCAAAATAGCCCCACACGTTTTTAAGATGCCATGTTAACCCTTATGCTGCATTAGGGACATTTTTGGTCTTTTGCAGTTTAATTTCTTTGACCATTTTGGCTGTTTTAATGCAAATGGTATGACATTTGGCAAAATTGTGACTTTTTGGATACATGTAAAAAATGTGAAAAAAATATGTATAACACACACTGTGTAGATCAAATAGTAACACTCAGCACCATAAAGACCAAAAATGGCCCATTGAAACCCATTAAAACGTTGTTTAAATCTGAGGCTGTCAGTAATACATGAAACATGATTTTTGCACAAACATCCTTTCATTTTGAAGCAAAAGCATTATATTTGCATTATATAGTGTATTCCACCAGATGACGTCACTACATATTTATTCCCTATGGGTGGAAATGCACCTTATTTTAGGCAATAGGCAATGTTTAATAGGTGGCCATTTTTGGTCTCTAACGCGCTAAGTGGGATTTTTTGCAAAGTGGGACTGTGATAATCCAAACCTAAAGTTTTCTCTTTGCATTTAGTTTATTGAAAATAATTGAATTTTTGTGTTTTTTCCTCTTATACAAATCGATGGTTTCGCAAACAAAACTGGTAATTAAAGGGTTAAAATCCTGAAATTGAATACATTTTTGGTAGTTATGATGAGGACTGATGCTGGTTAAAATATTTAACTTGGTAAAAGTGGAAAATAATAATAATATATAATATTTTAGGCAATGTTTAATATGTGGCCATTTTTGGTCCTTAATGCACTCAACGGTGTTAAAAATCTAATGCAGCACAAGGGTTAAATTAAATAAAAATTAACAGAAATGTGTCAGCGAGGACTAGAGCCCGACTGATAAAGGATTTTAAAGGCCGATACCGATACAAATATTATTTGGTTTTAAAATCCGATATATCGGCCGATTATTAATTAATTAATTTATTTTTTCAGAAACGCGCAACAAAACATTAACAGATTTCCCTAACATTAGTTATTTGTAGTTATTTACGAGTTTAAACTAAAATAATATGATAATACATTTTAAAAAGAAACTTGTTTCTTTTATTGTCACGACAGAACAGACTGACGATAGTGGCGTTAGCAAGCTTTGTTTTTTAGCTAGTCTATGATGAACCATAATTTAGCAAATGGATAACGTCATACTGCAAATTAATTGTAAAACATACATTTTCAATATAACAGGCCGAGGAGAGATGATACGTCTCATTGCTGTAACTGTCACGCGCTATTAATGAAATACTTCAGTCACATTGTCAAAAGTTAAAAGGACAGTCAGTCGACGACACTGTAACAACGTAACGTAATTATTACTAGCTAATCCCGCTTCACTCTCGGCTTATTTAACCACAAAACTGGACATGATAGTCACAAATTTTGCTTATTTGAGTTTGATTGTTAGTCTCGTGACCAACTCAACGAGTGTTGCCAACAGGAACGGTGTAGAGCGCCCTCTGGTGGACAAACTATACAACTCCAACACTCATGACATGGTTTAAGCGTGTTTCGTCCGTTTCTATTTTATTTTTAAAATATTCATTTATCGGCCATTATAACTGCCGATACCGATAGTTTGGAAAATGCCTAATATCGGTCTGCCGATATATCGGTCTGGCTCTATCTGTCGCCGTTCTCTTGAACAAACATTATGGCTGTCAGATATTGAACGTTGTGTAAAGTTCGTGTCCGAGTGTGTGCGCCTGTCCTGCTCCCTACTGAGTGTGTGTGTAATGCACTGCTGCAGAAACACACAGATAAAGATAAATGATTGCTGCGGTCATTTCTCTCCCCGTCCCGTGTCTCCGGTGTGGTTTTCCCGGGATGTGTCCAGAGTGTCAGCTGATGAAGACGGAGCGGCCCAAACCCAACACATTCATCATACGCTGCCTGCAGTGGACCACGGTCATCGAGCGCACCTTCCACGTGGAGACGCCCGAGGAACGGTCAGACACACACACACACACACACACCTGAAAAAACACAAAGCCAGTCACAAGGTTCATTTTTTTAGATGTATACATAATATTAAAGTTGAATAAATAAGCTTTCCATTGATGTATGGTTTGTTAGGATATGACAATATATGCATTCTCTCCCAAAATTTACGGTCGGAAATGTATCTTCATGGAACATGATCTTTACTTAAAGGGATACTTCACCTCTGCACCTCTGATGCATTTTTGCGTCATTTTGCTTTGAGTGTAGGCCTAGTAGACATAAAGCGCTGTATAAATACCGCATTCATCTCCATCCAGTCTGAACAGTGTTTTCCGGGTTGGTTTTCTTATAAGCTAAAGTCTATTCCGGTGCTGTATATTTTATAACCTCCTATAATGGTAGCCTAATGCTGTAAAAAATATTTTCAAGATTTGTCATCACAACATATTTTCTTTTGTCAAATCAACTTTATAATAATTTATTTAGTTCAGATAACTTATTATTTTGAGTTTCTGATGGTTAAATTAATCTCCTTTATTGTATTAACTCACTTTTTTTTTTAAGAGTTCAATCAACTTAAAATTTTAAGGCAACCAGGTTACTTACTTTTTTAAGTTAAACCAACAATATTTTTTTACAGTGTAGTAATCACAACATTTTTTCTTTTGTCAAATCAACTTAAATCATTTATTTAGTTGAGATAACGTATTATTTTCAGTTTCTGATGATTAAATCAATCTCCTTCATTGTATTAACTAAATTTTTCCAGTTCAATCAACTTAAAATTTTATGGCAACCTTTAAGCTAAACCAACAATCTTTTTTTTTTACAGTGTACTCTCGAAATGTTTCAACTTTAATCTCGAAATGCTAGATTTTTTTTTACAGTTTTTCTCAATTGCTTTGGCACATTTTTCGAAACAGTCTTAACATTCTCTAAACTGTGAGTGCAAATGTCACAACTGTTTGCAGGAACTTCAAAACTTTATAGCATGTCTGCAAAATGTAGTTACTCACCCAAAACATTTAATTCATGCTTCAAAACCTAGTTATTTTGTCAATAATTTGGCCAAGGCCACCAAAATCTAAAGTATTTTTGTCATTGTGTGAGCCACACTGGTCAAAATGTTTAGTTATTTTTTCACCATAAGTCAACCATGAAAATTAAGGGTTTACTGTCTGTAAACAAATCTCATATTTGTTGAGAAAAGTCAATAGTATGTAGAAAAAAAATTCTATGAACATTTGTATTTTTACAGTGTTTATTTTTGTACTTCATGTGTATACACAATACAAGTGTATTTACTGTACATGTAAAGTAACTGACAAGAATAACAAGATTTCACATTACATCTCATATTTGTGTATTACCACAAATACACAAACAACAAATAACATTCATGGAAAAAAAAAAGAAAAAGAAACAAATTATTCTTGGTGGACATCTTGTCGCTCACGTTGGTCAGGCCAAAGATTTTCATCAACATCACATCTGATGTTACCATTGCCACACAACGTGGAAAAAATCTCCTTGAATGACGCACCCATCCCCTGCAATGGTCAGATTTATGACATGATCCACAAGTGTGGCTCTGATTTCATCAGAGACTCTGACTCTTCTATTTCCACCTCTTCCTCGATTATTTCTTTCTCTACCACCACCACCACGTATTCTTACACGCCTTCCAATTGCTCTTCCATGAGCATGTTGCTGCAGTTCAGGGTTGTGAATGTCCTCCATTCTATATATACTCTATATACTCTAAATACTCTATATATATATATATATATATATATATACTCTAAATATATACTCTCTCTCTCTCTCTCTCTCTCTCTATATATATATATATATATATATATATATATATATATTCCCAAAGTTGATTGGTTAAATGGTTAAATGGTTGATTCATATTAGAGGTAATTTATAATTAGATTGCGAATGCAATTAGAAGTCATGTGCCAATTTAGCAAACATTACAAACAATGTCAATGTCAGATATATTTTAGAATATACATTCATGTATACTAATTATGATAATTGAATAGATCGTTTTGAATGTGATGGCTTACACAATAAAAAATGTCTGAGAAGTTCTGAAGTGTTTGATAGTGTAAGTGAGAATCAAATCATCAGTTTTGATCAACAAGCCATATACAATTATTTGTTGTCCAAACTGCAGACAGTTGTATGTACTCTTTGCACACATGTGCCAAAGCATTTGCAATTTTCTCAAATCAATAAGAAATTCCAATCTGATGTGAACAAGAAGCGAATTGTTCAGAGATATGAACTTAATGTTTTGGGAAATAAAAAAAACATTTGAGAACTGAGCCAAAGCAATTGAGAAAAACTGTAACGTTGTGGTTCAGGGCTTCCGTAGGAAATAAATACAAGAAATCAATACTTTTATTCATCAAGGATGAATTATATTGATCACAAGTGGCACATTGTAAAAAAAAATATTTTCAAGATTTGTTATCACAACATTTTTTCTTTTGTCAAATCAACTTAAATAATTTATTTAGTTTAGATAACTTATTATTTTGAGTTTCTGATGATTAAATTAATATCCTTCATTGTATTAACTCACTTTTTCCAGTTCAATCAACTTAAAATTTTAAGGCAACCCAGGTTACTTACTTTTTTAAGTTAAACCAACAATATTTTTTTACAGTGAAGATATTCATAATGTTTAAAATCTTCTATTTCTATTTCAGATAAATGATGTTGTTTTGAACTTTCTATTCCTCAAAGAATCCTGAAATAAGAATGTAAATATCTGTTTTCAACACTGATAATCATAAATGTTTCTTGAGCATCAGATCCTCATATTAGAGTGATTTCTGAAGGATCATGTGACACTGAAGACTGGAGTAATGATTGATTTGATCACAGAAATAAATTACACTTTTAAAATGTTTTAAAATAGAAAAGAGTTCTTTTAAATGGTTATAATATTTAACAATATTACTGTTTTTTTTCTTCAAATAAACACAACCTTGATGAGCAGAAGAGACTTCTTCTAAAAACATTAAAACATTTTGAGTGGTAGTGTACAAGCTTCTTATACAGGAACATCACAGGCCATTTATCAGAAGAACCAACAATAATTATAATACGAAATGCATGAAAGAAGATTTGTTCTGCATGTTGACTGTTGTAGGAAGGAATGGACCAAAGCCATCCAGACTGTGGCGGAGCGTCTGCAGAAGCAGGAGGAGGAGATGGAGGCGCACATGGAGACCAAACCGCCACACAAAGTGGTACAGTACACACTTCTGCTTATTAAATATCAGCACTGGATTAATAACGTGATATTAATAGGCCACCCCAAAATGAAAGAGGTCGTAGCTTATATTATGTGTATTCAGATCTGTCTCTCTCTCTCTCTCTTGTAAACTTGATCAAGTATCACAGACTGAAGTTAAGAAGTGCAACAATTTTTTTTAATTATTAAATTAATTGTATTTTATATTGTAAATGTATTTTAGTTCACTGATATATCTTACATGATACTTATCAATATTCACCATTTATTTCTATAACATTTCTTTTTACTATTTTGTTTAAAAAAAACATATAATTAAAACAAAAATAAAATAAAAAAAAACTTTTTTTTATTATTTTGGACAATAAATGCATCATATTTTTTTGTAAATCTAAATGTTATGCACGATATTTTAGCTCACTAATATCTCTCATGGTACCTCTACAATATGCACCATTTATTTCTATATTAAATAATATAAAAATTTAGAAATTTTTTTTTTAAAATTTTTGTTTAACATTTTTTTTTATTAAAATAATAAAATAATAATAAAAATTGTATTTAACACAATAAGTTCAATGTATTTTTTTAAAATATGAAATTAATAAAATATATATTATATTTTTCTTTATATTGCATGATACTTAATAATATTCACCTCTACAATATTTCCCATTTATTTCTATATTAAATAATAAAATATTCTTTTTTTCATTATTATTGTTGAACTTTAAAAAAAATATATTTCAGACAATAAGTGCAATGTCATTTAAAAAAAATGAAATTAATGTACTATATTTTAAATCACTCAACCCCTTTTAAACTTGCATCGAGTACAAGAGTCATTGCGAAAAATATAGAGAAAAATATATATATTATATTTAAAAATATATATTACATCAAGAGAAAAATATATATTATATTTTTCTTTATCTTGCATGATACTTAATAATATTCACCTCTACAATATTTCCCATTTATTTCTATATTAAATAATAAAATATTCAATTTTTTCATTACTATTGTTGCACTTTAAAAAAAAAATATTTCAGACAATAAGTGCAATGTCATTAAAAAAAAAAATGAAATTAATGTACTATATTTTAAATCACTCACCCCCTTTTAAACTTGCATCGAGTACAGGAGTCATTGCGAAAAATATAGAGAAAAATATATATATTATATTTAAAAATATATATTACATCAAGAGAAAAATATATATTATATTTTTCTTTATCTTGCATGATACTTAATAATATTCACCTCTACAATATTTCCCATTTATTTCTATATTAAATAATAAAATATTATTTTTTTCATTATTATTGTTGAACTTTAAAAAAAATATATTTCAGACAATAAGTGCAATGTCATTTAAAAAATAAATAAATTAACGTACTATATTTTAATTCACTCAACCCCTTTTAAACTTGCATCGAGTACAAGAGTCATTGCGAACAATATAGAGAAAAATATATATTATATTTAAAAATATATATTACATCAAGAGAAAAATATATATTATATTTTTCTTTATCTTGCATGATACTTAATAATATTCACCTCTACAATATTTCCCATTTATTTCTATATTAAATAATAAAATACTCAATTTTTTCATTATTATTGTTGAACTTAAAAAAAAAAATATTTCAGACAATAAGTGCAATGTCATTTTAAAAAAATGACATTAATGTACTATATTTTAATTCACTCAACCCATTTTAAACTTGCATCGAGTACAAGAGTCATTTATCCCGCCGGTAAAATAGCAACAGCGCCGAGAAATAGGGCCCAATGTTTAAATATCGTTAAAATAGGGCCCAATGTGTCTAAATAGTGTGTGTATAAAACGTCAGCATGAGGACTGTCGTGCACTTAGAAATCAGTTCCCACGCTCACATTTCTGGCATTCGTGGCATTTGCAGCAGTTCAAAGGTCAAACGCAGATCCGTCCCGTCAGTATTATGTGTTGAACTCGTGCAGGTGTTTGTGTGCTGACAGCTGGTGTGTGTGTGTGTGTTTCAGACTATGCATGACTTTGAATACCTCAAACTCCTGGGAAAAGGCACTTTTGGGAAGGTGATTCTGGTGAAGGAAAAAGCAACGGGAAAATATTACGCCATGAAAATCCTCAAGAAAGAAGTGATTGTAGCCAAAGTGAGTAACACACCTGAGACTTCGGAAAGTGTGTGTGTTTGCTTGAGTGTGTGAGCTAAACAAAGCCTACTTTAGTTAGTCTGTAAAACTACACTGTATTGTTGGTTTAACTTAGTAACCTGCGTTAAAATTTTACGTTCATTCAAATTAAAAAAATGTATTTATTCAATAGAAACTCAAAATATTATGTTACGTGAACCACAAGTTAATTTTGACAGAAGAAAAAATGTTGTGATGATAAACTAGTATGAAATTAATTTTTTTTTCCAGTGTATGCATAAATAAAGTATGCTGAACGTGTTCTGTCAGGTTCAGGCTGTTAGTTTGGTTATAGTATTCATGCACCATTTTTTTTTTCCCAGTAAAGTTTCCCATATTTACAGGTGAAACTCGAAACATTAGAATATTGTGTAAAAAAATTTCAGTAATTCGACTTAAAGGTGAAACTAATATATTATATAGACTCATTACATGCAAAGTGAGATATTTCAAGCCTTTATTTGTTATAATTTTGATGATTATGGCTTGAAGTTTATGAAAACCTTTCACAATATTCTAATTTTGAATTTGGGGTTTTCATAAACTTCAAGCCATAATCATCAACATTATAAAAAAATAAAGGCTTGAAATATCTCACTTTGCATGTAATGAGTCTATATAATATATTAGTTTCAGCTTTAAGTTGAATTACTGAAATAAATGAACTTTTGCACCATATTCGTATTTCTATGTGTGTGATTTGTGTTATTGTAGTGTGTGAAAGTCTGAAGAGTGATGTGTGTGTTTCAGGATGAAGTGGCTCACACACTCACAGAGAACCGTGTGCTCCAGAACTCCAGACACCCCTTCCTGACGGTGAGAGACTCTCATCATCTCCTCGTCTTCCTCTTCTTCTTCAAAAGCCTCTCATCTCGAGCACGTCTGTTTATCCAGCCACACAAAGCGCTTTAGAAGAGTTCGAGTGACCACTTCAGATTGAATAACGTCGCCCGTTTCGTCCTGGATCATAAACTGGTTTCTTGCTAGTTTAGTCTTGTTTTCCAGCACTCTTAAATGGAGGTGCATGTACTAGATAAGCAACATCACTTATGATATTAAGTCTTGAGTGATTGAAATGAAGGTTAAAGCTGCAGTCTGTGGTTTTTCCTCTTTGTCGCCATCTGTGTTCGTAATCTGCAGGTGCGGGCCGGGTCGGGCTGGCCATCGGGAACACACTGGGCATTTCCCCGGTGGGCCGATACATACTGTAAACATTTTTTTGTTTGTTTGATCGGCCCGTAAAGCTCGTGCGTCGGCGCCCGTTGCGTTTAGTTTGTCTTGATTGGCGGCGCTGGGATCTCTGTGCCAATAAACCTCCACCAGCATCCACACACACACACACACACACACACACACACAGCCGACCAGCGACACTCTTCTGCATGTGTACAGGTGTGTGTGTGCAGATGTGTGTGTACAGTTGTGTGTGTACAGATGTGTGTGTGTGTGTGTGTGTGTGTGTGCACAGATGTGTGTGTACAGTTGTGTGTGTACAGATGTGTGTGTGTGTGTGTCTAGATGTTTGTGTACAGATGTGTGTGTACAGATGTGTGTGTGTGTGTGTGTGTGTGTACAGATGTGTGTGTACAGTTGTGTGTGTCTAGATGTTTGTGTACAGATGTGTGTGTGTGTGTGTGTGTGTCCAGATGTGTGTGTGTGTGTGTGTACAGATGTGTGTCCAGATGTGTGTGTGTGTGTGTGTGTGTGTGTCCAGATGTGTGTGTGTCCAGATGTGTGTTTACAGATGTGTGTGTGTGTGTGTCCAGATGTGTGTGTCTAGATGTTTGTGTACAGATGTGTGTGTGTCCAGATGTGTGTGTGTGTCCAGATGTGTGTGTGTGTCCAGATGTGTGTGTCTAGATGTTTGTGTACAGATGTGTGTGTGTCCAGATGTGTGTGTGTGTGTGTGTCCAGATGTGTGTCTAGATGTTTGTGTACAGATGTGTGTGTGTGTGTGTGTGTGTGTGTCCAGATGTGTGTCCAGATGTATGTGTGTGTCCAGATGTGTGTGTGTGTGTGTGTTCAGATTTGTGTGTCCAGATGTGTGTGTGTGTGTGTGTCCAGATGTGTGTGTCCAGATGTGTGTGTGTGTGTGTGTGTGTCCAGATTTGTGTGTCCAGATGTGTGTGTGTGTGTGTGTTTGTGTGTGTGTGTGTGTCCAGATGTGTGTGTCTAGATGTTTGTGTACAGATGTGTGTGTGTCCAGATGTGTGTTTACAGATGTGTGTGTGTGTGTGTGTGTCCAGATGTGTGTGTCTAGATGTTTGTGTACAGATGTGTGTGTGTCCAGATGTGTGTGTGTGTGTCCAGATGTGTGTCTAGATGTTTGTGTACAGATGTGTGTGTGTGTGTGTGTGTGTGTGTAGGTGTGTGTCCAGATGTGTGTCCAGATGTATGTGTGTGTCCAGATGTGTGTGTGTGTGTGTTCAGATTTGTGTGTCCAGATGTGTGTGTGTGTGTGTCCAGATGTGTGTGTCCAGATGTGTGTGTGTGTGTGTGTGTGTCCAGATTTGTGTGTCCAGATGTGTGTGTGTGTGTGTTTGTGTGTGTGTGTGTCCAGATGTGTGTGTAGGTGTGTGTGTCCAGATGTGTGTGTGTGTGTGTGTGTGTGTGTAGGTGTGTGTGTGTAGGTGTGTGTGTGTGTGTGTGTGACGTAATGACTCTGAGACATGCTCGAATCTCCCGCTGAAGTCCACCAGTCCCACTGGAGTTAAACTAATAATTAATAATAAACTAATAAACTAATAGTAATAAACATTATTACTAGTTCACCGCTGTGAGTCGAGTGATGAACACTTCCTGGTTATGTACTTGATTACATTTTTTTGGGATAATTTTTAACAAAAAAAAGTTACGGACTGCAGCTTTAAGTTCAAGGAAAATAAAAAGAAGAAAATAGTCATTATTTTTGCTCTTTTCATTTGGTGATGCTAGTCAAGTAGAAATTATACGCTCAATGTTTTCCAGATAACATAACAGAAGAATATTAGTTTGTAATGAGGATGGAATCAAACTTCCTTATTTGTTTTTTATATAATAAAAGTCCTTCACTGCAATTTTTCTCAATATATTTTTTAAAAAGCGCCTCAGTGATTTAGTCTTCTTTTCCAGGACACACATCTAAACATACTTCAATTAGGATACATTTACTTGATATGATATGCTGCAAAATGACTCATTAATACCCCAATGGAGGAAATTTGTTCATTTTTTAACTAATGACATCTTGCTTCTCCAGTAAGTGCATCTTTTGTACTGGAAAATTAGACAGAAATACTGATGGAAAAACATCACATTTTTGCATAATTATTTAATGCATTTTTGGATGGATACATTGTTTATAATATCATGCTAGATATCTGCGTATTTATAAATATTTTAACAGGGTTATGCAATATAGTTACAGAGAACAGTGTTTTCAGACATAATTACTTGCTTTTATTAGGTTTATTTTTATTATTTAGACATTATCAAGTTAGATTTTTTTGTTTGAAACGTTGAATTGAAGTACAAATATTCAAAAAATTAAGATAAAAGCATCTTATTTCCCATTAAATTCCTATAGCGATAATCATTTCACAATATTTGTACTTTTTACACTGCACATTTGCAATATACAGCTCTTTTTGCATGTGTCATTGACTGTCTTCATTTCATATGATCATTTAATACATTGTTAATTGCATTAATTTGAATGGGTTTGCATGTTTAGGGTCTGAAATACTCGTTCCAAACCCACGACCGGTTGTGTTTCGTCATGGAGTACGCCAACGGCGGAGAGGTGAGGCCCGTTCTTCTCAGACCAGAGTTTTGAGATGATAAATACGGTTGTAAACGTTCCTTCCCTCCCGCAGCTCTTCTTCCACCTGTCCCGGGACCGTGTTTTCTCGGAGGAGCGCGCACGCTTCTACGGGGCCGAGATCGTGTGTGCGCTGGATTACCTGCATGCGGAGCGAAACGTGGTTTACAGGGACCTGAAGGTCAGGGGTCACCGGCTCATATCAGTTGTGCGCTTCATTTCACATACAGGCAAACCAAAAATTATTTACACACACCAGATATAATTTTACTTTAGATATGTTTTGTGTGTGCAGGACACTATAGTACATGTGTGTAAGTGAGGAGAGCATAATAAAGTAAACTGAGACATATTCAGGGTTTTTGAAATTAACTTTTTTTTCACTTACCGGCCAATTTGGCTAATGCATTTTTAAGAGACTGGCCTTTCAGAACGTCTACTGGCCCAAAAAAAAAATATATATATATATATACTTTTTTGGGCTAGTAGATGTTCTGATTCTATATATAGAATCATATATCTGACGTTTTATATATATATATATATATGCTGTGACGTAGTTAATCTCTCTTTTAAAATTTTATATTAGATTTATATTATTTTCCCCCATATATATATATATATAGTTGGATTTCATACATTCGATTCTTATTCAAACAAAATCCTTAATCCAAAATTTCATAATTTTACTTTAGATATGTTTTGTGTGTGCAGGACACTATAGTACATGTGTGTAAGTGAGGAGAGCATAATAAAGTCAACTGAGACATATTCAGGGTTTTTGAAATTAACTTTTTCACTTACCGACCAATTTGGCTAATGCATTTTTACGAGGCCGGCCTTTCAGAACGTATACTAGCCCGAAACAAGTGTATGTGTGTGTGTGTGTATATACATGCTGTGATGTAGTTAATCTCTTTTTTTTTTTTTATTAAAAATTTTTCTTGGATTTATATTATTTTCCCCCATATATATATATATATATATATATAGTTGGATTTCATACATTCGATTCTTATTCAAACAAAATCTTTAATCCAAAATTTCATCCTCATCACCAAAAAAATGTATAGACCATTTCACAAGATGTAAACAATACTGGTCCAGAAGCACTTCCTGTTTCAGTTTGTAACTGTTTTCTTTATTTCACATGTAAAGAAAACATCTTAAAGATGTTTGTTTAACTTTTTGATTCAGTTTTATATGTTCTGTTGGTTGTATTTTATCCCAGCTTTTATGTAGTGTTAAAAAAACTGAAACAGGAAGTGCTTCTGGACCAGTGTTGTTTACATCTTGTGAAATGGTCTATATGTGTGTGTGTGTGTGTGTTTGTTTGTGTGTGTGTGTGTGTGTGTGTGTGTTTGAATTCATAATCCACAGCCTCTGCAAACAATCCCGAGTGTGTAAATCACCATCAGACGTTAATGTGTGTGTGTGTCCCTTTAAGAGTGCAGTGTGATGACCCGTCCAGATGATGATACTGTAGGTCAGCAGAACAACCCGTGTTTTGCTTTCTCTTGGTTTCTCCTCCTCTCCCCTCTCTCTCTCGGGCCGCTCAGGTTCATGTGAAAGTGCGTGTGTAGCAGGACGGGTGTTTGTGCTGACGAGCGTTGTGTTCTCGAGCCTCTGGCCACGTGTGTGTGTGTGTGTGTGTGTGAGCTACAGCTGCCAGGTGACTGTGAGGAGTGCTGATATTAACACAAGCCGAAGCGTCTCGATCGCCCCCTGCTGAACATTATGAGATGACAGCCTTTAGTTTGAATAAGAAATGAATGTATGAAATCCAATATATAAACTGTGACATAGTTAATCTGGTAGGAGTTCAAACACTGGTCCCAGCACAGCTCATAATGGACATGGTGATGTAAAATAATGGGTCCACATAATGGGCCCTGAAGTCTAATGGACATGATGGAAACCAAACAATCAAATTACACTTCAAATACATTTTTCCCAAAGATGTTTTCAGTCATTTTAGGAAGCTGTAAGTTCAAGTGTTTGGTCTCAGTTCATAATTTATGACTGTGACATCATGATTGACAGCTTCTCTAAACGAAGTATTGGGAAGGCATCAACTGACTTTTTTGTGAAATAGTTTTACTGTTTTATACATTTTCTTCGTTTCGGATCAAGTGGTTTGATTGAAGTGCCCTTTTGGGAAATGATGAAAATCTGTCAGTCACAGTAGAATAAAAGCAGCTCTTGATCTCTTTTCTGTCCATCAGCTGGAAAACCTGATGCTGGATAAAGACGGTCACGTCAAGATCACGGATTTCGGCTTGTGTAAGGAGGGCATCACAGACGGAGCCACTATGAAGACCTTCTGCGGGACCCCGGAGTATCTGGCCCCTGAGGTGAGACTCAGCACATGAGCAAATCACATGACCAAGCCATTCACAGGATCACGTGACCAAACCATCACAGGATCACATGACCAAACCATCACAGGATCACGTGACCAAACCATCACAGGATCACATGACCAAACCATCACAGGATCACGTGACCAAACCATCAAGGATCACATGACCAAACCATCACAGGATCACGTGACCAAACCATCACAGGATCACATGACCAAACCATCACAGGATCACGTGACCAAACCATCACAGGATCACGTGACCAAACCATCACAGGATCACGTGACCAAACCATCACAAAATCACGTGACCAAACCATCACAGGATCACGTGACCAAACCATCACAGGATCACGTGACCAAACCATCACAAAATCACATGACTAAACCATCACAGAATCACATGACCAAGCATCATAGGATTACATGACCAAACCCTACTGGGGCGCATGTTCATCTGAGAATCCGCTAGAAATGGGGTTTTATTGTTCTTAAAATGTGTATTTGTAGGGTTTAGGGTTAGTATATAGTAGAGTTTAAGCTCTCGTCTCTCGGATCACATTTTATTTTCGTAGTCTATTCGAGTTTCCCAAAGTAGAACTGCTGGAGATTTGTTAAGTTTATAAAAAGCTGATAATTAGTTAAATCAAAATTTGAAATAATTCAACATTATAACTAGGGCTGTGCAAAAGTTAATTGCGATTAATCGCATCCAAAATAAAAGTCTGTGTTTACATAATATATTTGTGTGTGCTGTATATAATTATTTTGTATATATAAATACCTATGCATGCATGTATATATTTAAGAATTATTTGTGCTTAAATTCTGTATATATATATATAAATACATAATCTATATTATATAAATATAAATATTTTATATAGGAATAACACATTTTCTTAAATATATACATGCATGTGTGTGTATTTATATATACAAAATAATTATATACAGCACACACAAATATATTATGTAAACACAGACTTTTATTTTGGATGCGATTAATCGCAATTAACTTTTGCACAGCCCTAATTATAACTTATTTAAGTTAAAAATAACGTAAAGAAAATGTTATTTTTTCCCCTGAGGTTTAATGTAAATATTTCTATAACTAATTTCTATATTCACGCCCCTCTGAGCCTTTCGGTTTATGGTCACTTGACATATTATTTTGACTTTATTTTAAAATGATTTATTTGACAATTTTCCATTTAACTTTCCAATTAACTTGAGAACATCATGCTTGTAATAATTTCATAATTATAATAATTTTTAAAACACGTTGTTATATTATTAAAATATTTCAGGTGTACTTCAAGTAAATATTGTCCGTCGAATCAATCCAGCTGAAAAAAAAATGTCTGAAGTGAAGGAACAACTCGCCAATTCTCTTAGTTTATGTTTCTGTTTTAAGTATCTCGTCAATAAAAGCTCCTAAAATTACTCAATAAGCAACATGAAGGCATCATAACAGTCGTCTATATGGCTTATGCGCGATATTCGTTTTATGAAGTCATATGGAGCTTGAATATCTCTCTCATAGAGCGTCATATGAATATGTCTTTTAATACTCTGTTAAATATCTCTCGCTCTTCACTAAAACGAGAGGGTTTGGAACAGAAGACGATTTTCGTTCCTCATATGGGACGTCCAGGATCCAGTGTCACCTCTCTCTCTCTCTTTCTGTCCTCTTTCCCCGGGAACTCTGGTTCAATCCCCATGTTGACATGACAACAGGGCCCGGAGCGGGAGACTTCGGGAGCGTTGCCATGGCTACGGTGGCCTCTCTGGAGCTCGGCCCGGGCCGTGTTACAGGTTGTTCCGCTGTAAACAATGACCTTGTTGTGTGTGTGTGGAGCTCAGGAATGCTGTTGCGTCTGGAAATATTCCACAGAGAGAGAGAGAGAGAGAGAGAGAAGTGAAGGAGGGATGAGAGAATTTCAGAGGAAAACAGGTGTAAGTGTTTTAAATGCACAGCGACACTTAGAAAAATGGACGGCTCTCATGCAGGATTATGACCGATTATGGCTTTAAATGATTTAAACATCACAAAATGTGTTTTAGAAAAAGCAATAGCAACTTTATTCATTTAGCACAATTTGACCAACAACACAAGTTGACCAATGTGCTTTACAATGTCGCACAGAAAAAACACGTATAATACAATTATCAATGATTAAAAGCTATTAAAAACAGATGTATTCAATAAGCTAAAACATGCAAACTGACATCATATTTATTGTTTTAATTTCTTACTTTAAAAACCTTTATTTAAGAATCAGGCTTCCCGCGGTCGGGATATAAGAGTGTGATTTCTAAATCTAAATAAATAAAAAAAAAAACATGGGAATTTTTATATTGAATATATATTTTCTTTATGTCAAGCTCAAAATATAATTATAAAATATGAATATTAATTTTTAAGCATAATAAAATAAATAATTGAGAAAAAACCAGCTATTGTAAAATAATTATTGAAACTTACTTGAAAATTATTATTATTATTTAAAGTTGCTTTATTTAATTATTTTTTAATATAATATATTATAATAATATTACCATATAATATTCATTTTGACAAATTTCTAAATTGCTGACATCCCTCAAAAATTGGGACCGAATAAAAAAAACAGCCCAGTTTTATGACATTCGGTTAAACCGTTCAGAAGCAAAAATAGCAATTTTCGTATCTCCTAACCAGTAGGTGGCGCTGTGCCAAAATGCTGCATGTATTCTCAGGTCATGCATGTGATGACGTGCACCAAGATTCGTCTCGATACGCCAAAGCGTTGTGTATATATAGCTTTACATCTAATTTGCCGTTGCCGAATTCCTCCCTGTCGGCTGTGTACGGACGTTGTTTTCGTATTGAAGTCTATGGGTACTATTTTCCCCTAAAAGTGGGCGTGAATCTGTTCAGAGACATTTTATGACGTTGCGCCGGTCATGAGGATATGGATTCAATTCTAGCCCTTACAGTACAAAAGTTATTAGCATAAACGTGAGTGCAACTTTGGACAGTTGGTGGCGCTAGAGGGATTGAGTTAGAGACTCCAAAATTGGTGTGGTCTATGTTCGGACTGTCTTCTATCTGCGTGCCAAATTTCACAACTTTATTTGAATCAAAACCAATTTCAAAACATTTATCAAAACTACTCTATCTATAAAGTGGTGTTTCCACAGACTGTAAAAAAAATATGGGCGTAGTGACATGCCCTCACCCGTAGTGTTTCTGATGAGCATTTTTGAAGCCCAAAGTGGACGGAGCTGGCCGTCGCCATCTTAAACAAAAATGGGCAAAAAGGCTGTAAAAAATCAGCTGAGGTGACGTGACGCTAACAGACAGCAACGTCTAATAGTGACATCGGTGCCCACGCCCTTAATTATGCAGAACTTTAAGGCTTAATATAATTTGAATAGATTACTTCAATCAACAATCGTCATGAAGGGCAAAATTAGCTATATAGACCAAAAGCACTTTTTGCCCCAGGCTGTAAACATGTTTTTTCTGCTGTAAAGTTGGGCATTTTAACTATGGGATTGACTCTCTTCTGCAGCCGGCCTCTAGTGGCCAGTCGATGAACTGCAGTTTAAGACACTTCCATCCATGTTGGATTTAGGGTGACCACCATCAAACAAGCCAAATGTGGGACAATTATAAGTTTGTGTGGGACAATGTGGGACATGTTACCAACACTAAAACATACCCTGAAACTGTTATATAATGTCTATCTAACTTGATAAAAACATTTATATTCTGCCTTTCAGCTGATAAAAATGATTTGTTTTTTAGTCCCTTCCAGAAAAAAATCTTTTTTTTTTTCCAAAAAAAAAAAAGTCACTTAAATTCAGCATCACTGAGCCCAAAGGCAGCAGGAATCATGTATATTAATATTTTAGAAACAGTTCTGACCAAGACCAACAAAATAAACAATGAACAAATAAAATATAAAACAACATGACAGTCTTATATATTAAGAATATATTAAAAACCAAAACCGTTCATATTTTTAGAAAGGATGTGAATTAAAACAACCACTGCAGGTTAAACAACAACAGATATATTCTGTTAAATTAAATTATTATTTTAATTTGCCTACAGTAATTATCCATCTATTTTCTGACAGGGAACATATGAAACGAATCACCGGTCCACATTTTGATTGACAGCCGTCACAACCAACGAGTGATCGTGTTTACTCCTTTCTTTTCAACCATTGGATAGTGTACAGCTAAAACACAGCTGTTGTATTTATACTTATGACGAAGCGCCGCAAACTACGCAGCAAAAGTAATAAGTAGAATGCTTTCTCAAAAAGGCAAAAGAACGCATGCACGTTTTCTTAACCCTCAGGTGCTCTTCGGTCATTTCTGACCGAAAAAATGTATGTTTTGAAATGTTAAAAATTACAGCTTCATCGGAATGTTACGAAACTTGGTGACTTTTATGGCATTGGGTATGTGAACACACAAAAAAATTGATTCGAGCAATTTAAGTGGTCGTAAAAAAATGAGTCACACTTTTGCTCTTCTGTCAAAAATGACGACCCATAGGAAACGAATGGCAAATTGACAAAAAAAAATAAAAAATTCTCTGAATTTTTGTATGTACAATCTACAAATCGGCCATAATTCTAAAAAAAAGTACACCACAGGAAAGGGGTGACACTCTACAACATCTAGAGTGCAAAACAGACACACCCACCAACACACACACACACATGCAAACACACTTTTATACACATACACACCAATAAATTTTGATTACAAAAATTATGTTTTGAATTTTTAAAAATCACAGCTTCATCGTGATGTTACGAAACTTGGTGACTTTTATGGCATTATGTATGTGAACACACAAAAAAATTGAGGTCATGATCTGAGCATGCTAAGTGGTCTTAAAAAAATAGTCACACTTGTGGTCTTCGGTCAAAAATGACCCCATAGGAAATGAATGGGAAATTGTAAAAAAATGAAAAAAATGTGTGAATATTTGTTTTTTGTCATTTTTTTTTAAATAAGAAATAGTTTTTGAGATTGTTTCAACTATATATTCAAATCCACCAACAACAACAACAAAAATGTGTTCATAAACATCTGGGGAATTCACATGCTTCTCAATAGAGAGCTGTCATCTAGTGGTTACACCATGATTCTACACATTTTCTCTATACTGTAACCAGATGGTGCTAATTTTCTTCAAAAAATATTTTTTTTTTCTGAAGGCCTAGACTCTATATTAAACTAAAATACTGCATTCATATTTTTTTGAAAAAAATAATATATATATATATAAAAAAATATATTTTTCCATGGCAAAAATAAACCATAAATATTGCATAAATATTAATAGATTCAATTAAATTGTCTCAAAATACTAAATTAAAAAGAATAAATATTATAGAACAAAAATAAATTGCATTGGTTTTACTGGGTTGGAGGAAATTGAATTTTTAGGTGTCCGGTCACTTTTGACCGGGAAGATAACAAGTGTGACTCCGAAACGAAGAGCACCTGAGGGTCAATATGATATTAAAAACTAATAGACTGATGAAAATGCGGGACATTTCCTCAATATGCGACGTGCGGGACAAGAGGTGAAAATGCTGTGCAGTACAACGCAAAGCGGGACGGGTGGTCACCCTAGTTGGATTCAAGAGAGGTTGGGTGTCACGTGTGGAGTTTACACTACATTACTGGTCATGCCATGGAAATAGAGAC